CATGAATCTTGGCGTGTCAAACTCGTACACTAAGGACTCAGGTGCATGTATATATGCGATTTATTTCTACATCAAAGAAAGGGTGTACACAAACAGGGCCCTAATCCCTACCAATCTTTAAAAAATTCTGATTCCGGCGTCCATTCACCAGGGGCACAACTGCTCCCCCATCCGACTGGAGAGTCTGGACTTCGAAAATTTATATAAATGTGAAAATCATGGCGACAACTCAAGCGATTCTAGAGTTCTTTTGGCTCATGGTAATGCTTACTGAAGCCCATCTCTGGCTTGAGAATTTGAACACTAATCTAGGGTTGAGAATTTAGTCGGTTTGGATTTGAAACCCGAATTTCTAACCCTATTCAGTTTTGGATATGATCCAAAATTTGGATCCAGATCCAAAATTGGATTTAGATGGTAATTCCAATTGAATCTAGGTACAGGTGGATCTGCATCCAACCTAGTTATTAAAATATTATATATTGCTTTATATGTAAACATATATGTTACATAGTATTTTTATATTATTTTATAGATATAAAATTATTTATTGGATTTGATCGGGTCTTGATCCGGATGCATACTTTCGAATTTGGATCTTTATCCAAATATTATGGATGCGATCGGATTTGGATCCAAATCCAATGTATATTTTTTGGATTTAAATCCAGATCCGATCCAACCCATTCTCAACCCTACACCAATCTCTATAAACTAATCGTTGATTATGGAGGTTGGATATTCCCTTGGTACACACAAAAGTTCCCTTGGTACGCACAAAAATCCATTAGTGCATGGTACACAATAAGTAATGGATTATCTACAAAGAGTCCATTGATCTTTTGTACATAGAGTTCACAAGCATTCTTGTTTCAAAATAAGTGGTTGTAAGAGTATCATTAAATAAAAATGAGTGATTGTAAGAATATCATTAAATAAACACAAAGTTCAAAAAACAAATCTTGGACTTTGTGGCTCACCCCAAGCCCATATTGGGTGAAGCCATCCAATTTAACATCTATCGAATGAGAATAGTTATGACTTCTATGTAGAAAAGATAAATGATTTCTTTACCTATAACCCTATAAATAATTAATGTACGGCACACTTTATGTCGAATAAGGCTTTAGTTATTCTTCTAATATGGTTTCCCCATTTAGCGTCTTTTGAATGTACACGGAATACTTACTCTCCTCTCTATAGATAAGGATACTTGGACTGAGTTAGGGCGTCCCATTATATTCGTTGGATTGTGGAGGGAACCATTAATGCAATACGATGCACTTGGATTTAGAAATGGACAATGATGATGCGAGATACAATGTAAAGGCGTCCACCTTATATTATAGAAACAAAGTGCACCTCCAAAATCCATCAATAAAAGTAGTTTCAATGCTAAAAAGCCTCAAATTGATCATCTCAACTTTGGGATATGGCTTTGAAGGCCAAAAAATATTATATCTTGTATTACATTATTTGGATCATCCATTTTCAAAAAATTTAAGTGTTAATGGATGTGCTCGATTTATACATTTTTTTGCGCTTTTAAATTTTATAGTTAGTGGAGAAAGTTATTGATGTAAAAAAATAAAACCAGAAAAAATAAAAATAAAATATTGAGAGAATATACTATCTCTCAATGTTTGAGAAGGAATTCACCCCAAGGTTGAGAGAATATACCCTCTCTCAAGGCTTGAGAGGGAATCCACCCCAAAAATATCTTCACAAGACCAAATTTTATTAACTCATCCATATCTTTTTTACGATGAAGGGAAATATACTTTAAATAGACTAAAAAAATAAGATAACCATTAACACAAAAAACTCTCTCTACAATTTTTCTATTTTATCATTTCTTCCTTATTTTCTCTGTCTTAAAATCAGGTGCAAAATTTTTCTATCTTCTCTCTCTTTAATTTTCTATCCCACATTTTGCCCAAAATTCTCCCCAACTTTAATTATTATTGATAAGGATAAACTCTCTCTAAACTTAACCTTATCTTATTTATATTCATAAACTATCTCCCCTAATTTAACCTTTATTTATTTATATTCAAAACTAACTCAAATCAATCAATAACTAATTAACCCAAATCCATAAATATCAACTCACACATAAACTCAAACTCAATGCTCATAAATATCCCTACGCACCTCCTCTCTTATTCTTGAAGAGATAAACTAAAGACTAATAAAAAATTAAAATAACCCTAATATTATTTGCATCATTCTCCCCAGGTTGGGAGAAGCTGGGCCTCGAGCTCAAAAGTTGGTGATGAAGTCCCACTATGGGCGTCGATACTTTTTCTTCAAGACTGATGCCTGCAACTGTGTTCCAAGAGTAATTGTTGAATACGAGCTTAGGCTGATTATTCCTAATTAAGAAAATTTTAAGAGATCAATTGTAATATCAAAATTTCGTAGTCGTTCTATAAGACGTGGCAGATCTGGTTTCTCTATAGAAGCTAGCAGATCTGGCTTGTAAATTTCTTCACTATGCTTGAATGATTTGGCGTGGAATTACTGGTGCAAGATGAATGTGGTTGAGTACTTTCTTCACGAGGAAGATTGTTCTCAGCATTTAACTTGATTTGGATCTGACTTGCTCTGATCTAACTTGCTCTTAGGATCTGACTTGCTCTAATACCAATTAATGCAGTTCTGATACCAATTGATGCAGAGCAATAATAACAATAATAACATTACAAAAATAAAAGGAGCAGTTCTGATACCAATTGACGCAAATTGATGCAGAGCAATAATAACACCATAAAAATAAAAGAAAAAAGTTGAGAGAATACACCTCTCTCAAGGTCTCCAAGGGAATTCACCCCAAGGTTGAGAGAATATATAAGAGAATATACCTCTCTCAAGGTTTCCAAAGGAATTCAACCGTCCAACCAGTCGGATCAGCTAATTGGTAATGTTGACATAAGAATGAAACTGTAATGGCTAGGTTGGAAGTGAGACATGTCCTTCTCCATGCCCTTCATGTTTAAAATTTCAATTGTTACATAGCAGCTTGGGCTTGAGCAGTTAGCAGCTCGATTCCTGCTATTGAATTATACTTTAAAAAACATAGCAAAAATAATGAAAATCAAGATTGTTACAATCTGGTTGGCGATCCCTAGTGATAATTTTCTCCTTATGTACTATCGAACTATTTGCACCTCTCTCTCTCTCTCTCTCTCTCCCCACACTTGGCATCAAATTCTCCTAAAACCCTCATCCTTTTTCGATGCAAATTTTTCTCTCTACTCTTATGTTACATGCCAATTGCTAGAGTAGATCGGGCCATTCAGGGTGGTTACGGTACGTGTTTCATATTTTATTTGCCAAAAAAAAAAATCAACTCATTGGGTTTAAAGCTTCCGTGCACAACAAGTAGTATCAGAGTATGGTTTCGGATTTTTAGGTATGACGGTAAAGGTTTCGAAAGCAAAGTTCAAAGTGGAGAAATGTGGTTTCAATATTGGAAATCTTAGTGATAACCTTAAAATATATATTTATATTTATTTATAAAGTTTAAAGCTTCAAAAATAGTATAGATAGACAGATCTATGAAAACTTGAAAATTGACAGTCAAAAAATGCGTTACAAAATACACTACTCTAAAACTTGAAATCCATTTTTTTTCTCATGTCTATGCATCTTGATGTCGAGATGATCAATTTAAAGATATTTGGGCATCAAAACAACCTCTTCTAGTGAAAATTTTTAAAATTTGATTGTTTAGAGCCTTAGCTCTATATAAACTTTTTGCTTTATATATATATATATATATATATATATATATATATATATATGTCACCATATGAGAAATGTGGCTTCCTCTAGAGAGAGAGAGGGGGTAGTGCCTCTTATGCATAAAATGCAAGGTTGGGCTTCTTTTGTAGAGAAACATTGTGATGGTGCTTTTTGTAGAGTTTGATGGTGGTTTATTGTAGAGAAGCGATTCTCATTAAGATTTTGGGTTGTTTTTTTTTTTAAGTTAAAAAGAAAGTCAGCTTCTTGTTGCTCTTGCATCTATATCTAGTGTTATCGGTAATGGTTGCCAGATGTAAGGAAAAGGAAGAACGACATGTAATGTCGGTCAGGAGAGTGGTTTAAAAGGGTTTATTCGACTCGACTGGGTTTTACCGACGGTTAGACATGTAACTCTATCTTCCAAAATCTTTGATATAATTTTCATTGGTATAGTGTGAATGATATAGGTATACATTATGTGGGTATTCATAAATGTTGCCAATACCTTTGTTTCTTAATAATTTCGAATTATTAAGTAAAATAGTAAGGAATATGATGAGTATATGTGCATATTCATAAATATTGTGTAATATTGTAAATGTTGCCAATAATATGGGTGTATGACGGTAAAAAAAAGAGGCAAAAAAAAGAAGAAAAGAAGTTTGTAGTAATAGGATGGCAATGGCCACACTCGAGACCCGATAGGTCTGGGTATGGGTCCAAATTTTGAACCCGAAAGGTCGGATCTGGGTCCAAAATTTAGACCCAAATACTATTCGGGTTCAAGTCCAGATCCAATTGGAACTGAATCGTACCCGACCCGTTGGAACTGAATCGTCCCCGACCGGTAGCCATCCCTACGGGCCCATTACCACTCCTATACGGCACAAATTTTCCCTCTCGTTTTCATTCCAAATGCCCTTCTACCACTGTCCACGCGGCATTCTCATATCCTCTACTCTTGTCACAAACTAGTGCAAATGTTTGTAATTTTTCACTGTGGCACAGCACCTTCAAAACACACTCTCCATCTCTTTCACCCAAAAACCACTCATTTGAGACCACTATCTTATATTGTCTCAAATTCTTTTCTCATGTTCAAAAGTGACCATACTCTCTTATTTTTTCCCCAAGTTGAAAAGAGAGCATAGTTTCGAGCGGTAAATCCTCTCTAATCCACACACTTACAATCCTTCTCTCTCCTCCCCCCACAGCCATTCGTTCACTGAGAGGCTATCCATAACCCAATCCACTCTTTTATCCTCCACTCTACGCCACCCCACACCATTTTATCTCTCTCCTCTGCCAACTTCCTCATTCTCTCTCTCTCATGGCTACTCTCTCAGTAGCCAATGCCTCAGTCCAGGTATGCTACTTGCACTGCTTTTTACCTCCTCCAAATTATAGTTTTTAGTCATAAATACCTTGTCTGTTAAGTGTTTGTATTTACTAGATAAAGTATTATCAGAGGATTTTCTTCTTTTTTTTTTCGGGAATTAACAGCGGATGTTTTTGTTTTCAGGCATCAAAGGGTTTTTCGGAATTCTCGGGTTTGAGGAGCTCAGCTTCGATCCCTTTTTCGAGGAAGCCATCAGAAGATTTTCTGTCTGTTGTAGCGTTTCAGACCTCTGTAGTAAGTCACAAGCACGATATATCTGTTTATCTCAGTTCTTTGGTTTTGCTTAGAAAAATTTGGTCTCAATAGCAATGAAGTGATGAGTGTATGATGCATCTCTCTCTCTTGCTAAGCAAAATTCAATAGTAATAGCGATCGGTTCATGCTTAAAGAAAGTATTATCACACGAAGTAGCTGACAATTGAGGTCACAAATTGCACTGGAATTGTTTTACCTTTCTACATTGTGATTTTATATTTTCGGATTTGTATGTTAGTCATCTGAAAGATCCTCTTTTTACTTTATTGGAGAGAGTGAGTAGGTTTCTTTAGTACAATCAAACAAAGCAGGTTATTGATCACCTCTAGCTAGATCAGCTTTGCTTCGTAGTCTGTTTCAGTTTGGTGGGAAAAAACTAAGCAATTCAGTGTTTGGTTAATTCAAACGAAGAATTCAGATTTTATTTATTTATTATTATTTTTTTTATAAATATAATATAAATAAAATATATATTTATATATATAAAATATGTCAAAATAAAATATATCTGATTCAATTGGAAAAGGCCGAATCAGACTGAAGTAGGCCAAAGTTGATGTACTAGAGCTTGGCTTTGCTTCAGTCTAGGTCGAAAATCCGAAGACTTCGGCCTCTTTGGCCGAAGCGAAGCCCATTTGATAACGTTAACGTTGGGCTGGATTAAGTAGACAATTTAAGATTGCGATAAGGGGTAAAGGGCAGACTTGTCATTCAAAATGAAAAGGGAAGTTAAACAATCCATAAAGAAATTCTACTCCTTCAGAAGTATACTGTCTCTTTACTCCTCTGGTAAAACCCCACTGATTTTGGACCCTAAATTTTGAGGATATAATCTCTCTCACACATAGATTGAACCTCAATAAAAAATATAAAACCCCACTGATTTTGGACCCTAAATTTTGAGGATATAATCTCTCTCACACATAGATTGAACCTCAATAAAAAACAATTTCCTAATTTGTACAAAAGATGTTGTCTCAAGTTTGAATAGAAACCATCCAATGTTTTGAGAGCAAGATTTAAGTGTTACAAAACTCAAATGAGCACAAAACTCAAATTTCATTTATTTTGACTATAATTTCATTTTGAAAATTATTTTAAGTTTTAGTGATTTTTAGGTGGTTGCCAAAATTTCAGATCGCAAAAATCCTCCCAAGTAAGCCATCTGACTGAGGGAATAGCAAACTCTGCTCCTGAGGGAGCATAGCGTGCGTGCTCTCAAATTAGAGGCACTAAACACTAATTAAGCCCCTAGAAACTCATGAGATGAACTTGAGAAATCCTTCGTCTAGAAGAACCACGCCCATTATGTGTTACCGTTTTTTTAAAAAAACAGAATCCTTTTTAGAATCACGAGACCACTATTTAAAAGTAAACAAAACAGATGTTAAGCTCCTAAACACTTGGATTTGAATATGACTACTCAAGTTCAATCTTGGGATGCTATTTCTTTTTTAATATAAAGTGCTTGCTATATTTTCTTTTTGTACGAAGTTAGCTACAAGTTTGTTGAGGTTACATCCTCGAAATATGGGATACTAAAAATAATTCTCCTAAATTGAGTTTTACATGAGATAGTTAATGCACAATATGCTCCAGCGGTAGTAGGTAATCTCTTGGCTTACAGGAATGCGATCTCTGTATTCTTTGACAAGCTATGTGCTTGCCCGTTCATTACAAAAAGAATTTTGGATAAAATTAGTCTCCCCAATTTGCTAAGGGCTGGGACTACATAATCATAAAAAGCAACAAATAAAAAAGTACATGTGAAATAAGAAATCAACATTTAGTGCACCGAAGGCATGACACTTCTCGATCCTTCTTTGCATATCACATAATGTTGATTCAAATGACACTAAAATATCATTTTTGTTGTTTTTGTACATTGATCAAAGGTGTGGGGGAGTGGGTACAAGAGAGGAGTTGTTGAGGCCAAGATTAAGGTTGCCATCAATGGATTTGGAAGGATTGGGAGGAACTTTTTGAGGTGTTGGCATGGAAGAAAGGACTCACCGTTGGATGTGATAGCCATCAATGACACTGGTGGTGTGAAGCAGGCATCTCACCTCCTCAAATATGACTCGACTCTCGGGATCTTCGATGCCGACGTGAAGGTCGCCGGAGTTGATGCCATCTCCGTTGACGGGAAAGTCATCAGGGTGGTGTCCAACCGGAACCCCGTCAACCTCCCATGGAAGTATGAATCTCTTTCTCACACACACTCATATTGGGTTGTACCCGGTTTTTAAAAGCAAAATCCCCAAAATTGATTATTTTTAAAAGAGGGTGTATATTGTGCTTCCATGGGAGCATACTCTGCGTTTACATCCTTGGGCAAACACTTACTTGGATGCCTAAAATTGGATCTAGGCCATTCGTTGAATGAACCTACGCCGAAAGATAATTTAGGACCTTTCTGCCGAAATCATATTTAGAGGAGCCACTCCAAATTAATATTGTCAAAGGAAACATGCTTCAGATCGGTAGGAACATTGTCTTTCAATATTCCTATGGGACTAGTGAAGTTCACCAAATGCTATACCATGAGTTTTTACTTATTTTGGCGAAGGCCCATATCCTCACAAATGTGGAGATGAAGAGGAGTCTTACATCGAGTATACGGGCATTGTCCCCTACCTCCTTTATATCCAGAGGACTAGACCTACAATGCACATCTCTTTGAAATACAAGAAGTCCAAAGAAGAAATTTATCAAACAAGAACTTCTCTTCTAATCAAATTAAGGCGAATCTCCAAAATTCACTGGAAAAAGTTGTTTCGATACCCAAAAATTTCTCGAATTAATTATCTCGATCTCAAGATGTATGGACATGAGAAAAAATAGATTTCAAGTCTTGTAAATAGTGCATCTTGTAATGCATTTTTTGGACCGTCAATTTTTAAGATTTTCAAGCTTTCATAAATTTGCTTAAATTTTATAATTAGATGTGAAAATAAATTTTTAGGCTGTTACAAAGATTTCCAATACTAAAATATCTTTCGACAAAATTTGAAGGTGCGCCTTACTTTTTGTTTAGGGCCTCAGCCTTTATATAAACCACACCGAATGTTAAATACTTTTTTGTGTGTATTTTGATAAATTTCCCTAAATTAAATGACTATATCTTGAGTTTACATCATGCGCCAGAAGATGTCTCATAGTGCTACAAATCAGGTTTAGATCCTCTTTGTGTTTTTAGATAGAAAGTAGAAGATGGGTCTCATGGCCACGATACTTTGATCTGATATTCAAATTTCTAATTTACCTTGACAAAAAAAAGAGCCAAAATCAAATTAACATTCCTATTTTCAACAAAAGGTTATGTATCATGGACACGTGTCCATTGTTTGTGACTTGTGTCGACACATCAATGACATGATGCTTATGTTTGATACTATAGAAACCTAAGCGTGTCTTGTACCATTTCTTGTTTACTGTAAGTGTAATTTAATGTCCCTTAAATTCGCACCTTTCCATTTGTGAGAATGATATATGGACACAATATATTTTGTTTAGAAATCCCATTTTGAGGTTAACATTTTTGACATTTACATTCATGTCGCATGCATTCAATCTTTGTAACATGAGACTAAAGCATATCATTTTCATTCTCGTGTATAGGGATCTAGGGATCGATCTCGTGATCGAGGGTACCGGTGTCTTTGTGGACAAGGAGGGAGCCGGAAAACACATTCAGGCTGGGGCAAAGAAGGTATTGATTACGGCACCTGGTAAGGGCGACATCCCAACGTATGTAGTTGGAGTGAACGCTGATGCTTACAATCCCTCGGAACCCATCATCAGCAACGCCTCATGCACTACTAACTGCCTGGCCCCTTTTGTCAAGGTTCTCGACCAAAAATTTGGTACGCTTTTGGCTTTTTATCTCAATATATATTTTGGATTCAAGGAAGTATAGAATGATACTTATTACTTTTGGTATAGAAAGGTCACAATCACTTTGCCTCTTAGATGTTAAATTTGGCTGTAAAGGGTGTGGCATTGACCCTGCGCAAGATTCAAAATATTTTTTTAGACTTGTCGAAAAATGACAACCTGCATCTGTCTGATTTTGCATATGATGGCTAAGGGTTATTACGACATGTTGGCGTCAAAAAGTGAATAGCCTTATCACATACAATATTTTAAAGATTTTAGCACATAATATGCTCTTGTGGGAGCATATTATATATTTACGCCCTTGGAAAAAAGTAAGTAGGCCTTTTTAATGTGAAATTTTGGGATCTACATTTAAATAACCAAATGAGTATTCCCCAGCAAAAAAATTTGAATATCATGTTATCAAATACGTAGATTTGACTGTCTAAAAATTGGATAGTTATTATTCATTATGAGTACGTTATTTTTTCAAGCACTATGTATTGTAGGATTGCTTATAAATAGATCATTTATCTTTTGTACATGGAGGTCACAATCATTCTTGCCCCTTAGTTTTCAAAATGGGTGGTTGTAAGAGTGTCGTTAAACAACATCACTAGTTAGAGTCCTCTTGAACTGAAAAAAAGACAAAATGATTGTAACCTCCATATAAAAGAAAATAAATGGTCTCTTTGTAGACAATCCCATATAGTATTATTATTGGTGTTATTATTCTTCTTATTATCATCATTATTATTTGAATTTCGATGCTTAGTTGAGGAGGTTACATCCCAAGTGTTACCACATAAGTTTACCATCCAAAGAATGCTCTTAAAGTGTTTTCCACGTAAGTTTCCCATCCAAAGAATTCTCTTAAACTGTTTTCCACGTAAGTTTCCCAAATATGTTGAACTTTTTTTTGTCTTGAATCCTTAATATGAAGCCATTGGTTTCCTTTTATGTTGAGTTTCCTAATTGATAAGATCGTTGCCTATTAATTTAAAATTTATCATTAACTAATTTCCTATTATCTAGGAGTTGATACTGGGTGAGACTTATTTAGATTATGAGTCCCACTTAATAGGATAAAGTTGCTAAAAAAAAGGGAAACAAGTCCCTAGAGCATAGGGTTTGGTCTTTTCTCTATAATGTGTACAGGTGATGGAAACCACTACGCAGGGCGAGTAGTAGGGGTGAGCACAAAATCAGGCAAGTCTCTAGAGCATAGGGTCCCTGGTGCTATTTACCTGGAAAATCGACCGGAATTAGGCCTCATATTAGGCCTTTGACTTAGTTTAGTGGGCTCAAGACCATGGCGAGTTCATGCCCAAGTCTGCATTTTTAAATACTGGACTAGGCCCAGTGTGCTATTGTCTTGTTCACCTCCTGGTACACTAGGTCCTCTTCCCAAACTCTACATAACCCCTCTTGGTAAAAATAACTTTGTTTCTAGGAAAAACATTTGGCTTTTAGACTCCCTTTACAAGAATAAAAACCTATGTAGTACAAGACAAACCTAGAAGGTTATTCTATTATGGAGAAATGAAAATATTAACAAAAATACTTGGAGTAATGGTAAAAAAAAAATCAATTTCTTTGGAAAAGAATGAAAAGTCTAGGCTGCCCACCTAAAGGGATAATCAGGCTTTTTGCATACTTGTTTGGTGAAAATGATATTTTATAAGCTTTAATAATTAAATTTTACAATGTAGAAGGCAATGAAACATTTTGTGTAATGCTTCCATAAAGTAGAAGCATGATCACGAAAATTTTATTTGCAAGAGAAGTATGAGTATTTGTGTTAATATATCTTTGTTTTGGAAATCTATAGGCATCAAATTCATAAGTGGTATAGAGCAATATATATGAATCTTTTAAACTTATGCGTAAATAAGGTGAATTTCTCAGAAGATATATATTCATATTGAGGTAGTTTATCAAATTCTTACCTTTTGTCTCACAATCTTCTTTTTTTTTTGTCTGGCAATGACTTAATGCTTAAATGTAAATAAAAACTATGATAGAAAATAGTCACATATTTTCATGAGAAAACTAAATAATCAATAACAAGGGCCTTATTTACCAAAAAAAAGAAAAAAAGAAGAGAAAACACACGGGATTATATACATTGAGACCATTTACCTTTACTATGGGGAGGTCACAATTGATTATCCGATGTGAAATCTAATAACTTCAATATGTTACAAGGTTCGAAAAAATTTCACATCTAATGAATAAATGCAGTCACTCAATTTGATAGCTTGGGCATGTCTAAATTTCACATCCAATGACAATCTGATAATTTGAGCTTGTGACAATGAAATAATTGAAGTCATCCATTTTCACATCTAATGCTCAAGATTAATTGTGACCACCTTGTACCAAAGGTAAATAATATTGTTTTATTCTTTCCCAAAAAAATACTATGCACATTTTATCATGGTTATGACTCTTCGTAATAAAGAATAGATTTCAACATAATCACAAATTTACAACATGAACCTCAGGTATCATCAAGGGAACCATGACCACCACCCACTCCTACACAGGTGACCAGAGACTTCTCGATGCGAGCCACAGGGACCTCAGACGTGCCCGGGCTGCCGCCCTCAACATCGTTCCCACCTCCACCGGGGCCGCCAAAGCTGTGGCCCTCGTCCTACCGACCCTAAAGGGCAAACTCAACGGCATTGCCCTCAGGGTACCAACCCCCAATGTCTCAGTGGTCGACTTAGTCGTGCAGGTTGAGAAGAAAACCTTCGCAGAGGAAGTGAACGCGGCTTTCAGAGAGAGTGCGGATAAAGAACTCCAGGGGATTCTCTCGGTCTGTGACGAGCCTCTCGTGTCTGTCGATTTTCGGTGCTCTGATGTCTCCTCCACGGTTGATTCTTCACTTACTATGGTCATGGGCGACGACATGGTTAAGGTCATTGCTTGGTATGACAACGAGTGGGGCTACTCCCAGCGTGTCGTCGACTTGGCCCACATCGTGGCGAACCAGTGGGTGTAATCTCTCTCTCTCTCGCTTTCTCTCTCTCATTGTGTTAATTCAACAAGCCTAATTTTGTCTCCTTTTATTGGTTTTTGTTTATTAATTATCCAATT